TGGTGGCTCACAACCACCTATAATGAGATCTGGTGCCCTCTTCTGGCCTACAGGCAGGATACTTGACTGACTGACTGACTGACTGACTGACTGACTGACTGACTGACTGGCTGACTGAAAGAATACATAAATAATAAATAAATCTTTTAAAAAAAAGAAAATAACATAACAAATAATTAATATACCACAAGGCCTCTAGACCATCTGTAGTGTAACATATAACATAGCTAAAGGCTCACATTTTTTTTTAAAGATTTATTTATTTATTATGTATACAACATTCTGCCTCTGCCTGCATGCCAGAGGAGGGCGCCAGACGTCAGTACAGATGGTTGTGAGCCACCATGTGGTTGCTGGGAATTGAACTCAGGACCTCTGGAAGAGCAGCCAGTGCTCTTAACCTCTGAGCCATCTCTCCAGCCCCCAAGGCTCACATTTCTGATGTCTGGAATATTCTCCTAAAAACCAGGGTAAGGAAAGAGAAGAGGTGTAAGAAATACACAGAAAATACACTGCAAAGGTGGTACATATCTAGAATTGTAGCACTTCAAAAATTAATGTAGAAGGATCATGAGTTCAAAGCCATCATGGGCTACGTACTGTGTTTTAGGCCATCCCAGACTATATACAAGACCTATCTTGAGAAACAAGTGAAACAAGAAACAACTTTTCCCCCTTCAAACATGGTTGAAGCTACATGCTAGAGATATCAGGCTCACCTTACTACTTTACTTTAGTGTAAGAATTTAGGGAGAAGGTAAAAGATTTACGACAGACTGTGGTATTTTATTTTTATTTTAATAAATAAAGCTTGCCCAAAGACCAGAGTGCAGAGCTAAGCCACTGAGGCCAGAGTGTAGTAGCATATACCTTTAAAACCAGGACTCAAAGGACTACATGAGATGGAATCTGGCTAAAAAGAGAAATAGAACTCATATAAAAGGCGCTCCCAGCACTTTGGAGTCACATGCCTTTAATCCCAGCACTAGGGAGGTGGAGACTGAAGTGATATGGCTGGGTGGAGAGAGGAATATAAGGCGGGAGGAGATAAGAGCTCAGTGCAGTCTGAGGTTTGGTAGAGAGCATTGCAGTCTGTAGTCACGTAAGCCTTGGTAGAGGTTAGAACTCTCTAGCGGCTTGGATGCTTTGCTTTTTCTCACCCTCAGCATTAACCCCAGTATCTGTCTCTAGGTTTGTATTATTCATGCTGCACCAAACTAAAGCGGGGTGGGTGGGATGGGGTGTAATACCTGAAAGAAGCCCATACTTTAATGAGGTCTGAAGAAATCGGGCTATTTCTGAAATACAAAAGTCAACTCTCTCAATACTCTCACACTCAATACATATGATACACATTTAGATGTGGCTTCTGTAGATGTCTGGCAGCACTTTTATGCAGGCTATTGCTTATGGCAAAGGCTGTGTGTGGCACCCAACAACAAGCATTACAATTTTGAAGGAGGAAATTTCTAGATACTGAGAGACAATATAGAGCATTTGAGAAAAATTAAGGTGGTAATGGACAATGGTCAAGACTGTGTGGCTGGAGGACAGAAATTAATCCTGAAGCCTAGAATAACTATCTAGTTATCTAGAATAACTATCAAGTATTGCAGAAACTCTAATGTGGAAAGAAGCATGCAATGGGATTTCCTATAAAATGGAAATTTTTTTACAGGAATATGTAACCAAGAGAATACAAAACAGTGCTCAGCATACCTGTAAACAAGTACCCTCTTCCCCAAGGGGAACTTGGGGGTCAACTCAAGAGCTGCTTGATCCTTTGATTAGGATCTAGAAAACTATTCTTGGTTAACAAAATGTTGAATAGTTTATAGACTATAATTATAGCATGAATGGCCAGCATCCTGTTTCGTTAGAACACTACCACTCTGGTGGATAGGCTACTTGCCCAAACACTTGGGGTTTTGCTGTACTCTGAAGATGATATCAAAAGTAGTCTTGCGAATGGATGATAAAGACAAAGATAAAAATTATATGGCATGCAGTACACGGAAAACTCATACTTTTTTACTAAAGAGGGACCACTTAAAAGCATTTTGCTGTTCTACTCAAGTTTTATGTTAGCAACATTCTTCAACTAAATAATAGGCAGCAATGTAGATAGGAAAAAAATGTAACCTAGCAGGATTCAAAGCAGTGAGACCAGCCCTAAGTTCTCTGTAGTAATGGGGAACAGATTTTAAGTAGTTCTACAATCATACATCCAGGCAAAGCATAATGCAAATGCAGTTCTGGGCATAATGTCATCTTTGTAATCTGAGAGGCCATGGCACGACAGCGTTTGAGGACAGCCTAGATTGCACATCAAGACATCAAAAAAACAAACATTCACTAAAACAAAATGGAAGTGCAAGCACAGGAGAAAGATGTGATACTATGATATATGGCATATGCCTCTTACTGGGGGATACACACTAAGTGCTATGTCATTAGGAAATTTCATCACTGTGCCTCTAAACTTAAAAGAAATGGTCTGAAACTTGAGCTGATCACAAAACATCAGTGACTTTACAATAATGCCTACATAATGAACCTACATTAAAAAAATACAAAAGGCAGAATCTGGGGAATAATCTATGGTTACTGAACATATGGATAATAAGAAACCTACTGATATATTCCCCTTTCTCCTATAGCTTGCCCTATGTATCTCATCCAATGGCTATCTATTTGTATTTAAAACATCTTCATAATAAACACAATTGTATATTAAATTGTATATTAAAGAGGTCCTAGTCTATGGACCATAACCCAATTTACAACTGGTACCTCAAGAAGGAACACCCCAAAGGACCAAACTAACTCGAGGTACACAGGTGTTCTAAGTGAATTAAAGGACATTTAGTTGATGTCAGAATGTTAACATTAAGAATAAAAACAAACAAACATACATAAATGGCCACAGAAATGTTCTGAAGAAATGTCCTGAATACAGGAGAAGGAAAAAAAGTTTATCCCCGTTCACACCAGTATCTTCAACACCATACGTTAGGGCTGGGTAGGGTAAGCATACTTAGTAATCTCAGCACTTAAGAGAGAGGGGCAGAAGGATCCTTGAAAGTGTTAAGGCCAGCATGGTCTACATAGCTTCCATAGTTCCAGACTGCGTCAAACAGAGAAAGAGGGGGAACAACAGAAGACAGGAACAGATTAATATAATCAGGACTAAGATGTAAATGATAAAGGAAAAAAGTTAAACTTTTAAAAAACTTCAAGGTGGGAAGTTAGTTGAAACTGCTCTTCTGCTACTCGTTACCCAGGAACCCTCTACTTCTTTAAGACCAAAGAAACTATCTTGTCACAAGAAAAAGTATACCATCTTGCTTCTCACCGAGTAGCCTGAGAGATGGCTCAGCAAGAAAAAGACACTGTCAGGTCTAACAACCTAAGCTCAGTTCCTGGGAGTCCTATGATGGAAAGATAGAATCAATTCTGAAAGTTGTATTCTGGTCTTCACGCTGAATTTTGGCACTCCTCTCTCCAAATATTAACTTATTATATAATTTACATACTATGAAAATTTAAATACTATGAAAGAAATCTGAGGGATCAAAGTATCTGGCTGAAGCTCTGACAAAGATAATTCAATGTCTGAGACAACTGGAGGAAAATAACACTGTGATTTGGCCCTAAAGGTGAAGTCTTCCGTAAGATTAGTCATTTCAGGTATAAATAACATGGCCAAGCTGCAGATGAGAGACATGCAACATTTCTGAATATAACAATTAAGGCTAAAAAGAGTGCTCTCTAACAGTGAGAGGGTTTTTTTTTTTCAAAAAGGCATTACCTATAAAATTGAATGTGAGCTGCTTTATATATTGTACACTATATTCTATAGTTTCTACACAATATGGGGAGAAATGAATATGTAAACTAAAGAGATTTAGAGCACAAACACTGGTCCTCAAATCATGGCTCTACCACTTGTACAAATTACTAAAGCCTCCTGAGAGTAGGCTCTCTCACCTTTCAAACAGTCTTAACATCAACACTCATACTTCATGAATTAAATAAAGTACAAGAACTGTCAGCAATTAGATGACGGCATCAGTGACATCAATAAATCCACTGACACAAACATACAGTCAGAAAACATTTGCTCCAGGAACAGCTGTTCACTAGAATCTGAGAGAGGCGGGAAGATCATAAACTGGAAACCAACTTGGGCAACTCAACCAGACTTCATTTGAGAAAGAAAATAAGAAAGCAAGAGATGGAAAATATAGGTTAGTTGGGGTTTGGGACAGAAACTCATTACTACTCTTTCTTGAGAGTAGACTGATAAAACTTACTTTCATCCATTTAGAAACCTATCTTCAAAAATATCCTAGATACTTCTCTAGTTTGTAGATGGGCCATATCACCATTTCTAAAACAAATGCCATGGAAAGTGAGGAAGCTTGCAAAAATTATGTTATATGCCTAACTAAAAATTCTATTACAGTCCTGAAACAGTTCAGGTGAAACAGACATGTGTAAGTATTGCTGATTCAGTTAAAATATGGCTAATAAAGTTATGTATTAAAACTATACTAAGTAACAATGTTTGTTTATAGAGTCCTATTTTTCCTGCAAATAATATATTTAACATGAAGCCAGCATATTTATGCTTATATATTAAAACATGGTATCAGTTGCATCAGTTACCTCCATACAAATATTACTTCACATATAGCCTCCGACCGAAATACATTACATTTGGAAAAAGCTTATTTGAACCATAGGACTAATGAAGAAGGAAGTAACCTAAGTCAAATCTTAGAAACTCAAACCCACATTAATGATATACCATAACAAATATTCATAATATAATTAGATATGAACATGAAAGACATCTTATCAAACATAGATTGCTTCAAGAAATAAAATCTGGGCTTAAATACTGTAAAAACAAAATTATGGCACCAATAGTTGTCTAAAAACAAATTTATCGGTACTATTTCTAATATTTTTCAGTAAACAACTGACTTCTGTACCTATGTTCTTTGTGCTCCAACAGTTGACAGTCTCTACATGTCAGCCTGTCACATGTTTCACAGAACAATTTCAACTGTTCTTGTTTATGTACAGGACAAAACACAGGGCGCTGACCAGATGCTCCAACAGCCTCTGTAACAAATAAAATATTTTTAAATAATAAAATTTTTTACTAACTTTATTTTTATTGGTGGTAGCAATCAAAAATCATAAGTAAGTAGACCATACTATTTTAGACTCAAAAGGTTAAATGTGAGCATTCAAACTATGTGTATTGGGACAAGCAAGACAGCTCAGTAATAAAGGCAGATGCTGGCAAACCTGATGGTCACAATCCAATCCCTGGACTCAAATGCTATAGAAATCTAACTCCTGAAGGATGTCCTCTGACTTCCACAAGTAAGCACTGTGGCATGAGTACACACATATACTTACACACACTTTTTTTTAAATAGCAACTGTATGTATCGTACCTGAAACATCTTCTTTTTTCCTGATTAGATGATCTTTAGTGAATTTTACTCTCTGATGTGCTTCAATGCATGTCTTACATAGCCACTCTCCACATTCTACACAAAAACCAACTGCGCTTGCATTGTCTTCACAACTTGTACAGACCTAAAAGAGAAAAGCACCAGTCTACATTATATTTGCCAAATGTAGATCCACAAAAAAAAGAAAAACCTTGCAACTTGTTCTCAACAAACACTAATTCATTATACAAAGAATAAAATCATCATAATACTCATTTATCTTCAACAAAATTCCTTAACCAATAACCCTAGGTAAAACATAGGTAAAAATCCAATACTCAGAACATAAAACTCTATGCAAAACTTATCTTTTGAAATAATAAATATTTGCTGGGCAATGGTGGCACACAACTTTAATCCCAGCACTCTAGAGGAAGAGGCAGGCAGATTATTTTGAGTTCAAGGCCAGCCTGGACTACAAAGCTAGCTCTAGGACAGCTAACGCTGTTACACAGAAACCCTATGTTGAAAAATCAATAAACAAATAAGTACTTTATTTCACCAAGACTGAGGGTGTGGAAGTTATTGTTTATTGCTAACAGGAAATACAGAACTACAAAAGTGCCTAATAACTTAATCAAATATTTTTCCTATAATTTACATTTTAATAACAGAAAATATACAGAAAAATTGAGGTGCATACCTGTTCTGACTTCTCATCAGAACTGCTAGGAGCTTCAGATGTGTCTTTCACAAAATAATTATCCACAAGATCTATCTGTCTGCATTCTTGACGACATACTGGACACCGTATTACACCAACTAAAAAAAAAGAGACAAATGTTAATAGTGGATAATGTTTTTCAAAATGGGAAGAAGAGAATTCTGAATCAGGTGGTGGTGGTGCATGCCACCTTTAATCCCTGCACTAGGGAGGCAGAGATCTCTGTGTTTAAGGCCAGTCTGGTCTATATAATGAGTTCCAGGACAGTCAGAACTATGTAGAAGGACCTAGTCTCAAAAGGAGGTCGGGGTAAGGAAGATGTCATCAAGGTGCTTAAGATGCATGTTATTTCTGAATTATTCTGAGGGACCCTACAAGAGTGAGGCAGGTGTGTGTGTGTGTGTGTGTGTGAGAGAGAGAGAGAGAGAGAGAGAGAGAGAGAGAGAGAGAGAGAGAGAGAGATTACATGGGAGTATATGTAGAGGTCAGGTAACTAAAAAGGAGCCCATAAGAGGGGGAATAAGGAAGTTCTGGCAGTAAAAGCACAACACATATGCAATAAAATTAGAAATGAGAATAGAAGGTATGGAAATTTAAGCAAGGATAGAGGAAAGAAGGTAAGAAAGGGTTAACCAAAACTATGGATGCATGAAAAAGGCCATGAGAAACAAGTACTCACATACACATATGCAAGCAAAATGCCTGACCCAGCCACAGAAGAAGCAAGATGTAACTGCCTCGCTGAATAAAGTACTGAGCCACGTGGCTAACATAGACAAGAATAATGATCTAATATAAGTTATAAGAGTTATTAGAAAGTCTGGGTCACTAGACCAATCAGGTTATAACTGATGCAGATCTCTGTGTGATTTCTTTGGGACGTAATGACTGCGGGAACCGGGAAGGACAGAAAACTCAGACAACAGAATGGTGCCCAATGTGTGAACAACTGCATCCACATAAAGCCTGAAAGAGCTTGAGAAGTAATTCTAGACACAAAATAACAGCATTACACATGGTTTCTTGGTAGCAGCAATTTCCCAGGTCTGCTCTGTTTGCTAGAGGCAAGCAAAAACTCATTTAAGAAAGGCTTCCTGACTCAGCTTTAGCTGCAAAAACTTTATAACCCTTTTAAGAGGCTCTGCCACAAAACACTTAAAAGGTGTTGATGAAAAGCTGACCACATGCTTTTTGGTTTTCAGCCATAGCAATGAAAAGGGTGCGCCATTTTAAAATGCTGGCTTTCTGGGCCGTCCTGCCAGTGCAAACTCTGACTCTTTCAGACAGGAGGTTTTGACAGACAGAGCATTTGAATGTGGTTTGTGAGCAGACTGCTGCAGCTTGCTTGGTGGCAGAGACCTTGAAACACCAGAGTTCTGGCAATAAAAATGGCTCCACTGGTATACTTCTGCCATTAGGCTGAAATCTCAGAAAGCTAAGGAATGGGCCGGATCCAGCCAAAGCCACGGCTTTAATCCTAGTCATATTGCTTAGCAAATTAAAGACTCATGTGGTCAGAAAAAGAGAGATATACATACAGTAAAGAGAGATTCAAAAACAAAGAAAACCTCTCAATGGTTTACAATTTGTTAAAAATATATGCAGGCTTGGGAAAGGGGGAAAAAAGGTTAAAGTCTTTAAAATAAAAAAAGAGAGTGGTTGGGTGTGGTGGCACACACCTTTAATTCCAACATGTGGGAGGCGCAGACATGCAGACCTCCATGAATTCAAGCTGTGGTAGCACACACTTTTAATCCCAGCACTTGTGAGGCAGAGGCAAATGGATCTCTGTGAGTTTAAGGACAGCTTGGTTTACAGAGTGAGTTCCAGGACATCCAAAGATACAGAGAAACCCTGTCTCAAAAAGCCAAAAATTTAAAATATAAGTAAAAGAAATAGAAGTTAAAGTAAAGCCACGTAAAGATGAAAAGTACAAAGAGTCTGGATACTGTATGCTATTATGTTATCTATAAATTGTTTGAATGCTGAGGAAGGAGCAACAACTGCCAAAAGATATTTGTTTATAAATGCTGCTGAATTATTCCAAGATAGGTATTTTAAAAATACCTTGACTCCGGGCGATGGTGGCGCATGCCTTTAATCCCAGCACTTGGGAGGCAGAGGCAGGCAGATCTCTGTGAGTTCGAGACCAGCCTGGTCTACAAGAGCTAGTTCCAGGACAGGCTCCAAAGCCACAGAGAAACCCTGTCTCAAAAAACCAAAAATAAAATAAATAAATAAATAGATGGATGGATGGATGGATAGATAGATAGATAGATAGATAGATAGATAGATAGATAGATAGATAGATAGATATACCTTGACTTCAAAATTGAAGTCAAAAGGTATGTTGCTTTGGAGAAGATGTTTTGTTTTTGTTTCCACAGGAAATAAGAGGCTGTGGATTCATTCTGAATTAAGAAAAATCAGGTTTGATCAAGGAAGATCACCTGAGAAATCTCTGGTAGGGATAGATGGCCCAAATGTCTAAGTTCTACATCTCATCCAGAACAGATTCAAGACTGCTGCCTGAGATGATCAAGCCTCACAGGATACTCCAGTCATGACTTGATCACAATTCTAAATTTTCTTAAGGTCCCCATAAGATTATCAGTGCCCCCAATCAGCAGAAGTAGCCTGGAAAACTGTGCCCATATTCCCAAAAAAATGGACTTTGGATATTTTCCTTTGCTTAGAATGTTAGTTACAAGTTGTTATAAATAACAGTCAGAAGAAAGGCTAAACAAAGATTATTAGATTCAGAGTTCGTTTTTTTTTTTTAAAAAAAAAAAAAGAAAAAGAGGAGGAAGTGCTGTGGGTCTGTATGGTCTGTATCCTGTTAATTATATTTTAAATTAACACTGATTGGCCAGTAGCCAGGCAGGAAGTATAGGCAGGACAACCAGACAGGAGCTGGGTCAATGAGGACAGGAGAATTCTGAGAAGAAAAAAGTCCTAGTCTGCAGTTGTGACCAAGCCACAGAAGAAGCAAGATGTGACTGCCTCACCCAATAAGGTATCAAGCCACGTGGCTAACATAGACAAGAATAATGAGCTAATATAAGTTACAAGATCCTGTTAATAAGAAGTCTGGGAGACTAGGCCAATCAGTTTATAACTTTAAAAAAAAAATCTAAAAAGTTGCCAGACATGGGAGCAGCACCTTCATTAATCCCAGCAGTTGGTAAACCGCAGCAGAAGAATTTCTGTGAATTCAATTAGAGGTTAAAAGTGCTTGCTGCTCTTGGAAATGACAGGACTCTTCAGAGAACAAGTGCTCACAGTGCCTGCAACTCCAGCCCCAGAGATCCAATCCTATTCTGGTTTCTACAGAGCAGACACCTATGTGTGTGTATATATACACTCACACACCTAAACAGATGTTTCTGAAAATTAAACTAAGAGGTTGAAGAGATAGATGGAACAGTGGTAAAGAGGATTTGTTGCTATTACAGAGGACATGAATTTGGTTGCCAGCACCTACAACTCGTTCTGAGGAGCCCAATGCCTTTGGTCTCTTGGGCACCTGCATACACCTGCACATACCCACACATATATACTCTTCATTTAAAAAGTAAAATAAATGTTTAAAGATATATTAACTAGCTAAATTAAAAAGAACCGTGCTAGAGCTAGATGGCTCAGAGGTTAAAAGTGCTGGCTTGTCTCCGATAAAACGTGTTCAACTCACCCAGCAGGGCATGTCAGAACCACCTGTAACTCCAGTTTCAGGTAACCTGATTCCTCATTCTGGCCTCTGTAGGCACATCATACACATGTTGCACAAACAAAACACCCATACACTTTGAATAATCTTTTTAAAAAATAAAGAAAAAATGCAGCAGAATCAAATGGACTCTCTAGCAAGGGATACAGAGTAAGTAAAATGCTTGCTTGAGAACCTGATCACAATACATGCTTAAAAAGTCAGGCCCGTTGGTAGTTTGGTGGAGAAGAGAGTAAGATGATCCCTGGGGTTTGCTGGCTAGCCAGATTGGCCTACCTAGTGATTTCCAGGTGACGAGGAAAAATTATCATTCTTGTAACATCTGTCTGCTGTTACCTTCATGCTAAACAATTTCTGTAGAAAAGATCAGCGGCCTTCTGCTTCAGGATCTAGCTATTCTCCTTCTGTCTTCCCCCATCTCAACAGATAAATAGTTCTTCATGGTGCGAGCACATGCACACACAAAGATACACACACTTTCTTTTTTAAAAAAGACAAACTATACAGCTCCTGAAGGACTCACAGGAGGTTCACATATACACAAAAACATAAATAAATGACTTTATGATGAGAATACAATATTTATAATTAAGAAAGAAATTAGAAGTTTGTAAATGGTTAATTTTAATGGAAAACTACATAATTATTCAAAATGAGAGAAAGGTGTTTTAGTTGAATGTAACAAGTATGATTTAGGTAAATACTGTTTAAATAGCTTCTCAACTGAGCCGCCAGCTTCTCAACTAAGCCAATTCTAACAAGCAACAATAACTACTAAAGAAGCAAAGATAGTACTTGGGCTGGGCAAGGATGTAACTCAGCAGTAGAAAGCTTACCTAGCATACATAAGGACTTAGATTAGGGCCCCAGTTTAGACACAGGACCTTTAAATATGTCAATATTTACACATCTAAGAGAAGAAAAGCAGTTCTAAGACAAGAAAAGCAGCTTTCCAACATTTTCAAACTGAAGTGTATAAACATATAGCAAACTGCTTTCCCATTAATCAGTTATAATTAGCTTCTCATCACTGCAACAATTTACTTTTAAATATGTACCATACTTGACCAGCAGTTCTTTGCATGACCTAAAAATCTTTACTCAATGCTAAATTTTCCTTCTGATATCTTTGAGTAGTTATTCCCCCCTACATTTGTAAGCCCTGGGTTCAACTGCTTGTCCCACAAAATAACAGAAGACTAGGCTAACCTCAAGATCTGCCTGCCTCCCAAAAGCTGGAATTAAAGGTGTGCGATCAATGACCTGGCTAAATTTCATATATCCTTAAGGATCTATACATCTTCAAATTAAAATTTTAAAATTTTATGAAACCAGAAAACAATAAGTCAATATACAATAAAATTAATATTC